AAGATGAGATTGGATAAATGATCTACCAGAGAATATGGCTTTATATCATAGTGAAGGAAAAAGAACTTCCATTTTATATTAAGCATTTGATTACTCATCATTCATATTAAGAGATGGATATTAAAATCGAATAGTGCTATCTGCCTGTTCAAATAAAAGCATCTCTAGTAGTAGTGTGAATTGGAGATAACAAGCCAGGTACTGGTGGCTAGTACCAGTAATTCTAGATTACTCAGGAAGCTGAGATCTGTGGATTGAGGTTTGAAGTCAGCCTGGACAGAAACCTCTGGGAGACTATCTCTTATTAACAGCAAAAAAAAAAAAACCCCAAAACAAAAAAATCCCAAAAACTGCATATGGAGTTGTGGCTGAAGTGATAGAGTACCAGCCTTGAGCAAAAAAGCCAAGGGAGAGCACAAGGCCCTGAGATTAGGCTCCAATACCAGCACACAGATCACAGTTCAAAGCCAGCCCAGGCAAGAAATCCATGAGACTCTTATCTCCAATAAACCACTAGAAAACCAGAAGTGGCACTGTGGCTCAAGCGGTAGAGCACTCACCTTGAGCTGAGGAGCTGAGGGACAGTACCCAAGCTCAGAGTTCAAGCCCCACGACTGACCAAAAAAAAAAAAAAGTGGAACTTACTGGTGAAATAACTAAACTAAAACATATCATTTGGGGCTGGGAAGGTGGCTTAGTGTTAGAGCGCTTGCCTTGCATGCCTGAGGTCCTGGGTTCAACTCCTCAGCACCACATAAGCAAAAAAGAAAAAAGCCGGAAGTGGCACTGTGGCTCATGTGGTAGAGCACTAGCCTTGAGCTGAAGAGCTGAGGGACAGCGCCCAGGCCCAGAGTTCAAGCCCCATGACCGGACCCCCCAAAAAATAATAAAACATATCACTGAAATGACTTAATTTTAATGGGAATAAAATGACTAACTATATATACAAAGGCAGAGGGTATAGCTCAATGTTAAAGCACTTGCCTAGCATGTGTGAGGCAAGCCTAAAAAAAAATATATATATATATATACATACATATATGTATATTTACATATACAATGCATACATATATCTAATTTATAATATATTTTCATATATACAAGTAAAATAGGATTGGGAACATGATATCCTCTAGCTATTTAACAGTGGTGTTGGATAGAGAAAACAAAGGATTATAGGTGGAAGAAGGGTAGAGAAGGCTAGGGATGGAGTTGAGGAGAGTTTTAATATTGTCCTTGAAAAAACTATTGTTCTTGGGCTAGGAAGGTGGCTCAGTGGTAGAGTGCTTGCCTTGCATGCCTGAGGCCCTGGGTTTGATTCCTCAGCACCACATAAGCAAAAAGAAAAAAGCCAGAAGTGGCGCTGTGGCTCAAGTGGTAGAGCGCTAGTCTTGAGCTGAAGACCTGAGGGACAGTGTCCAGGTCCAGGCCCAGAGTTCAGGCCCCACGTCCGGACCCCCCAAAAAAAAACCCACAAAAAAAGCAACTATTGTTCTGGTTTGTATTAGGTCATGCTACCTCCCATTGTCACAGCACACAGCTCAAGTAGCAGAAGTTTCTATGTGGCCACTTTCAGGCATTTTTTTTCTTTCTTGACTACTGTCCAGCTCTAAGTTCTGTGGGAATCACTCTGGATTCTGCTCTGTTTAAAAGGAGACAAGTTTAGAAAGATAAGCTGTGAGGTTGGGAGAGGTACAAGTCCTCTTTTAAGAAGTTGATGTGTAGCTAGGTGCCTATAGTAGTTCATACCTATAATCCTGGCTACAGGAGAGTGAGATCTGAGGATCAAGATTCCAAGCTCTCCTGGGCAGACAAACCCATGAGACTTTTAGCTCCAATTAAGCAGCAAAAAGTCAAAACTAGAGATATGGCTCTGGTTTTGGGAAAACCAGAGTGGAAGGCCCTGAGTTAAAGCCTCTGTAACAGCGCGCGCACACACACACACACACACACACACACACACACACACACTGATGCATTCAATGCTTTGCTATTCAAAGGTGCATCTGGCTTAACAGCATCTGTAACATGGACTTTTCTGGGGAAGTAATCAGAAGTATAATGTCAAGATCTACTCCAGCCATCTGTGTCACAAGGTGAATTTCAACAAGATCCTATGGGATTCATATGCACATTAATGTCTGAAAGCAGTTCTAACATTTTGTTTGCTTTTCCTATAGGATGTCACCTACTCCCAGGGTATCAGCAATTTCTTGGAATAAGTTTAATTGAGGCTGAGGCTATGTTCTCTCTTTAATTAATCCATAAATCAGTATGTCAGCAAATCATCACAACGAACCTCTCAGATGCCTTTGTCCTTACACTGCAATGAGACAGGGCAGATATATAGCATATCCAAAGTCACACATCTAGTAAATTGTGAAGATATTGTACTCAAGTGTATGATGTTTTTCCTCTGTTCCCATCCTACATAGCTTCCTCTTGTATTTAATTGTAGGGAATTGTTTATGCATCAGAATACTACAGCCCATTTAAAAATAATGTAGCCAAAAAATGTAATGTAGCTTGGGGCTGGTGGCTCACATCTGTAATACTAGCTCCCCAGGAGGCTCAGAAAAAAAGCTGAGGGACAGTACCTAGGCCCTGAGTTCAAGCTCCAGTATTAGCATAAAAAATAAAATAAAAATAAGGGCTAGGAACCAGTGGCCCATGCTTGTAATCCTAGCTACTCAGGATGCTGAAATCTGAGGATTGAGGTTTGAAGCCAGTCCAGACAGAAAAGTCTGAGACTCATCTTCAATTCACCAGCACCACCAGCACCACCACCATCACCACCACCAACAAAACCCCCCAAAACTGCAAGTGGAGCTGTGGCTCAAGCAGTAAAGCACTAAACTTGAGCAAAAAGGTCAGCAACAGTGCCCAGGTCCTGAGTTCAATCCCCAGGATCAACACAAATACATAAACAAATAAATAAGGGTATAAAAATAAAGGTTATAAAGGAGCAGATTAAAAGGTGTAAAGCATCCTTGGCCTCTGGGTATGTTGTAATTTGGGGATGAGAAAACTCCATCCTTTCATGCACATATTTCATCCTGCCCCTCAGCTGACTTGCATCTTGCTACTGCTGAGGCAGGTCCCATCTGTTCAAGCCTGTTGCACCAGGTGGTAAGAGCAGTACTGATTGTGTTATGTCAAGGCTACCCATATGCCTCCCTGCAATCTGTAGTTCACGAGCTGGAAAACCATTTGCATTTTTCAATCCATCAGATGGCATTGAACAAAGCCAGTGCCAACAAGGCTATTTGAATGCTTTTTATTTGTCAAAAAAAGTAAGACTTACAGCCTCCAACTAAATTGTTAAGAAATACTGACTTATAGTTGCATTTCCCTAATTACAGCTGTTCTTGAAAACTCTGCAAAAATAGGGAGGCAAAACTCAAAGTAACTGATATCTCAAGCTAGAAGACTCTGTGTGACTTTAGATCTGGAGTTGAATAGACCTGATATAATTGGGTGACACTTAATGTGAGCCATATACATTGCTCAGGTATTGCTTGGAGAACAAGCATTTTCAAGTAAGCAAAGGATTAGGAGCCTGAAGCCATTGTGGGGCAGGTCCCAGGGCTTCAGGGTAGAGCTGAGTGTAAGAGAAGGCACACTTTTCCCCAAGAAGAAACACTGTGTTTTCTGATTAGTCTCAGGGATGTCCTCTCATATGAGGGGAATGCTGTTTGCTCTTTCTTTTTTGCTTGTTTTTCTGCCTGTCCTGGGTCTTGAACTCAATGCCACATGCTCTTGCTTGGCTTTTTCAGCTCAAAGCTGGCACTCTACCACTTGAGACACACCCCTATTTGGGGTTTTTGGTGATTATGTGGAGCTAAGAGTTTCACAGACTTTTCTGCTAGGGCTGGTTTTGAACCACAATTGTCAGATCTCAGTCTCCTGAGTAGTGAGGATTATTAACATGAGCCACTAGTACCTAGCTCCCATGGGCTCATCCTTGTAGAGTGGGTTTTCTGGTGGAGGAATTCCTCATCCAGAACTTTCTCCTCTGCCCTGACCCTCCCAGGTTTCTCGAAAGGGACCACCTTCCGGACATTCACGCTCAGGAGCTGTCAGAGCCGGAGTGTCCACTAGAGAGCAGACCTGATAGCTGGGCCCTCTTCAGGCACTCTGTATTCAGCACTTTTCCTTTGCACTCTTCCAGACAAATGAGAAGTCCTGGATCTCAGAGACTGATTAACTTGGTGCCCCTCCCTCCCCCACCCCCTTCTTCTGTACCAAACTATTCTCTTTGCATTAACAAACAAACAAAAAAACCAAGAAGTCCAGGAATCCATGGCTTATTCCTGTAAGCCTAGCTTCTCAGAAAGCTCAAATCTGAGGATTAAAGTTCAAAGCCAGCTTGCGCAGGAAGGTCCCTGACACTCTTACCTCCAATTAACCGCCCTAAAGCCAGTGGTGGAGCTGTGACTCTAGTAGTAGAGCACGAGCCTTGAACAAAAGACGTCAGGGCAGTGCCCAGGTTCGGAAGTTCAAGCCCCGGGGCCGCCCGCCCCCCAGATAAACTCATCTTAAATGTCAGTGAGTCCAACATCCACCACCGGGGTGAATGACAGCAGGTAATTAGGAGCAATTAGCCGTGTCCCCTGCCGGGAAGCCGAGCACTTGTGTCCTTCCTGCTCGCGAGGACGCGCTGGAAGTGCTGTGCGCTCCCCGAGCGGCGGCGGCGGGCCCCGAGCACCGAGTTGGCTCGGGGATGGGGGCTGAACGGAGCGGGACCGCCGCCGCCGCCGCCTCCGCCTCCTCCCCTTCCTCCGCCCGCCGGCGCCGCGGTGGCCGCGGGCGCAGCAGTGCATTGTGGAGATAGCGCGCGCCGCGGCCCGGGACCGCGCGGCGGGGAGCTGTCCGAGGTGCTGACTGTCCCGCCCGCGCCCCGCGCGCCCCGCCAAATCCTGCCCAGCCGGCCTCTCACCCTCCCTCCGCCAGCGGATCTTTCTCGCTTAACCCAGGGGGCGCCACGGCTGGAGGAAACCATGGTGTTCGCTCCAGGTAAGCCCGCACCTTGCTTTCCCACCAGGTGTCCAGGCGGGGAGCGGGGGCCGGGACTCGGGGACCGCCAGGGGGCCAGGCCTTTGCCCCAGGACCCATCTGCGCGCCCCGAGAGTGCGCGACCGGCGGTCGGAGCAGCGCCCTCGCCTCTCTCCCCGATCCTGCCCCATCTGTCCTCTAACAACCTCCAGCCCGTCCCCGTCATCTTCCTGCCCGGCCCTTCCACACCCCACCCCGGCGCAGGCACCTGGAGAACCGGGGAGCTTCGCCAGCAGCAGCACCGACAGCCCCGGGCGGGAGGGCGGGGAGGTGGGCTAGGCGCCCACTCCAGGCGATCGCTTCTACGGCTTCTTTCATTCCCTCCTCAGAAGTGACAAAGTGACCCCGTTCCTCCCGAGGAGACGCGGGCGCAGTGGGTGAAGCCGGGGTGGGGTGGGGAATGAGACGGAGGGTGGAGGAGTGCTACTCCTTAAGGAAATGAGATCTGAAACTCCAGCCGGCTGGACTGCAGCCGCGAGGCGGCTACTGCGGCGCGGCCCGGAGTGCAGTGTCTCTTTGGAGCCGGGCGGTAAAAGATCTTGGTCCCTTCGCTGCTGTCCATGGCTACAAGTTGGCAAAGAGTCAGATTTGTGTGCATTCTGGGGGCGCTCCCCTAGGGCCCGGGGGTGCATCGGTGAGGGGCTGAGGGCAGGAGAGAAGAGGGGGTAGCCTGGTCATTGTTACCATACTTTGTATGTAGATGCCAAGTCCCCCCAACCACCACTGATAACAGAAAATAGGGAAGAGTGAGGGGCTCGAACTCTAGCTTTGTTATAGTTCTTACCTTGAAAGGATGGTTTTCACTTGCCCTAGTCATAGGCCACAGGCAGCGGGGGAGGAGAAATATAATGTATTTGTAGAGGGATAGAACTGAGTCCAAGTTAAAAAAAAATCAATTAGCCAAACTTGAGAAGAGGAAGTGAGCCCCTTTAACAGCCTAGCTTGGGAGGCAGGGTTGTGCTTCTGAGGCTTACCACAGGTAAGACTTTTAGAGGAATGCCCAGGAGCCCTTCTGCGGCAAAGCAGGACACTCAAGGGATGGGCCAAGTGTACTGCATAGAGAGAGAATAAGGAAAGAGAAGCCCACAGAGAATAAGGGAAGAGAAGCTGGAAAGCAACAATTCTTCAAAAACTTTATTATCAGCTAGGTGCTGGTGGCTCCCAGCTGTAATCCTAGCTACTCAGGAGGCTGAGATCGGAGGATTACAGTTTAGTACCAGCCCAGCCAGGAAAGTCCATGAGACTTTTTATCTTCAATTAACTATCAAAAGCTAGAAATGGAGCTGTGGCTCAAGTGGTAGAACTACTAGCTTTGAGTGAAAAAAAGCTCAAGGACAGTACCCAGGCTCTGAGTTCAAGCCCCAGGACCAACACACACACACACACACACACACACACACACACACACACACACACAGAATTATTAATTTTAAAAAGTTGTACAAAGAGGTCTCAATTAAACATGTCAGTTTCTGAGTACCATGCATCTTTTTTTTTTTTTTTTTGGTCCAGTCGGGGGGCCTGAACTCTGGGCCCGGGCACTGTCCCTCAGTTCTTCAGCTCAAGGCTAGCACTCTACCACTTCAGCCACAGCGCCACTTCTGGCTTTTTTCTTTTTGCTTATGTGGTGCTGAGGAATCGAACCCAGAGCCTCAGGCATGCAAGGCAAGCGCTCTACCACTAAGGCACCTTCCCAGGCCCAGTACCATGCATCTTGATCAATGTCACCACTTTCATTGCTTCCCTGCCATCTGTTTGAACCAAACCCATCCCCTCAAGTTACTTGGTTCCATTTTCACATATGTACATTGACTATTATGACTGAATTTTCTCATCCTTTCTCCCTTCACTCATCTGACTCCCTTCCTTTGACCAACCATATCTCAGTTTCCTGGTATTCATTTTGTTGAACTGTAATTTAGTTATTCAATGGAGTTATACTGTCAGAATCCCCCTCCCCTAGTATACCATACCTGGTTAATTTGTTTGTGTTCATATGCATATGTAAACAGGGTTAATTTGTTTTGTGCATATGTGACTGAGTCTTGAACTCAGATCCTAACACTCTTGTTTGTCATTTTTTATTCATGGCTGGTGCTCTACCATTTGAGCCATGCCTCCAGTTTTGCAACAGTTCTTTATTAAATTTACAAACTGTTTATTACTTTTATGCTTCCATCTCATCATCCTCAAGTTACTCTGTGAGATAAGAACAATCAGTGCCAGGCTGAGCTGGAACTGTTAGACCTCAGTCAGTCTCTTTCTGAGGGCCCTAGAGAATGTCTTTGGGCAAAATGCCCCACCAGCTTCATTGGCTTCAGAGGTAGCTGTCTTTTGGCCCCACATCAGATATACCCAGTTGCAGGTCCTGTCATTCCCTCAAAAGTAGGAGATATATGGTATCTAATGCTATGTTTATTGATACTATCTAGGCATTTTGGATAAGCATGATCAGGGTGAAGGATAGTGAAATGGTATAGATAAAGTGGCACACACTAGCAAGCCCAGCTACTAGGGAAGCAAAGGCAGGAGTGGGACAATCTGAAGCAGTCTAGGTAGGCAAAAACTTTGAGGCCCTATCTGAAAAGCAAACCAAAGCAAAACATACACACACACACACACACACACACACACACACACACACACACACACACACACATACACACACACACAGCTACCTTTGTTTTATGTGGCTCAACTGGTAGACTTCCAAGTATGAGTTCAAATTCTGCATCTTCAAGAAACAAAAATGAATCCTATAATGAATTTTAAAAGTGAAAAAAAAATCATGTAGTGAATAGTGAGAATTTCTGAGAAAGACCTCCAGAAATGTACCTGGCTTATAAGTGGCTCACAACTTGGACAGGTCTTTACTTTTCCATTTCATATTTGAGTTTGGTATTATCATTTGTCCTTGGGGGAAAGTGGAAATGATTTCTAACATCAAAGATAGCACAACTTATTTGGAGAGAACAGAAACCTGTAGAACATTTTTGAATCATTGAGGTTTTCCAGAAAAACATTAGCATATTTTACCTTCTCATCTATTGCTCATGTGTTTTCTAACTCAGTCACTGATAACTATTCTGAAAAAAAACCCAGTGGATTCTGGACTCTGCTAGATTTTCAGCAGTATATCCTCATTTCTAGCATATTGGTCTTCTAAATCTCTACAATCTATAATCCAGACTTCCTATGAGTTAAGGCAATGTTCTCCTACTACTTTCCTCTAAATGACACTGTGCATGAGGATGGGAAGAAATAGACCTTGCACTAAACTCATTCCAAAATGAATATAATTAAAATGAATAAAATAAACATAATAAATGATTAACTAGCAATTCATAAATTTAGATGAGAAGATATTGGGCCCTTCAAAGCATAGTGGAGCTTTGTGGGTTTTAATAAAAGTAAGCAAGAGCTGTGTAATTTGGGCCTCACCTCAGCTAACTGGCTGGCTTTTGTATTAAAATTGTATTTCATTGCTTGCCTTACAGGTAAGTTCCTGGCCAAAGAAACAGTGGACAGAGAGTTGGAACACACAGGACTTTATATAACGCTAGTTGGGATTTGGTTTTAACATGTGCTAAAATACACTTCTCTTCACTTGTTAGTTGTGAGTAAAAGAATGCAGGAATTAGGAAGGGTCTTTGGGTGGTTTCTCCTTTTGTGCAGGGTGGACAATTCAGTTATGTATTTTTCCTCTTTCATCATTAGTAGACGTTGCAATAGAGAGGATTTAAGTTTTGTGTGTGTTAATTTTTAAACTTTAGAGCAATGGGCTATGACCACTAATTTTTAATGATTTAGATACTTGAAGCCTATTTGCTCATTTCTTTTTTTCATTTATGGGAGTTATAAAATTAATAACAGTTAAAATTAATAACAGCATATTTGTTTCTCAGTAATATCTTCTTTAACAAAATGTCAAGCTAAATTGGGCCACATGGCTTAGCCTAAGGGGAAACCAAACAAAACAACAAGAAACACACTACATGCTTCTTTTTATTAAATCTCTTTATTTCTCCTACTGCCATCTCTGAACACTTGAAGTCAACAGTTTCTAGACAATGTGAGATTTACAATGTATCTCACCAAGGGCCAAAGGAGAGGGATGAAAAAGGCAATCTGGAGAACTCTTTGTCCCCACTTATAATACTAAACCTGTATAGTTACTTAATCTGTGGCCATACAAAACCTTCCATTTATGAGGGGAAGTGTTGAGAGGATATGTCTGGATTTCCTCTGTGGGGTTGTTGGTTTTGGAGGTGGGGTATGAAGGCATTCTTATCTATTTATAGACAAAATCTAAGTGGAAGAAGAAAGACCACTGGCCATTGACAGTGAAATTACTAAAGCACAGTAGAGAATGTCAGATTCTTGGTCTAACTTCAGGAGGAAAAAAGAAGGTATCTTCACAAATTTGAATATCTTTTCACTGCCTTTGTTGCAAAGAGTCTCACTCTGAATAATAGTTACTCCTCCCCGAAAGAAAGGCTAGTAAGGAACAGAGAATAGGGTGGAAAGTTAGGATGAGGGGAATTCCTTTATCTTTGTTTCATTCCCCAATTCCTCCAATGATTAGCACATATTTCAGGAGTTAAACACTTCTCATGTGGCTGCGCTTCAGATATTTTTGGCTTCTTTGGATTTGCTTCAAGTCAAGATTTTCTCTTGCATATAAATTATACAAGGTATGATAATGAAGATTTCATGATGACATAAAAATGATGTAATGGTAAGCAAGTAGACAGGTCACCCCTGACATATGAGCTTAGTTTGGAAGGCATTTAGTGCAAGTATTTCTAGAGGAAGCTATCAAAGATACTTAAGAAAATATTTATTGCAAGATAGTTATAGCTTTTATTCATTTATATAAACCTCCTACCAATTCCTGAGAGATTGATGAATAAATTATATAGTATACTGTCTTAGTTGTCAGACTTCTAATCTGCCAGCTCAATAAAACCTCTTCCATTAGTTTAGTCTTTTTTAAAAAATCTTTTATTCCCTAAAAAAAGTATACACGCTAAATTTGATTTTTTTCTGAGTTTTAAACCATATATGAATTAGTGTAATAACTACAGAACAATTTCTTTTCCGCTGAATTATTTCCTTGTGTTATACCGTATAGTCAGGTCCTTCTGACTCAGCCCTAACTTATCCACTGGTGGTCACTGATAGCTTTCTAGCTCTAAAAATTTATGTTTTGTATTTCTGGCATGTCATATGACTGAAATCATGTAGGGGTTTGGTCCATGGGGCTGCTA